AGATCTGCTAACAATGCATTTTTCTCAGCTTTTGTTTGTCTGAAAAGTATTTTGCCTTTATTTTTGAAAGATATTGTCACTGGGTATAAAATTCTGACTTGTGAAATTCATGACAATAAGTCTGCTTTAATTCTTATCTTGCATCCTCTATATGTGTTTCATTTTTTTCTCTGGCTACCTTCAAGAGTTTAAAATATGATCATTCAAATGGGGCATGGCTATTTTTAAAAGTTACATTCATTGTTTTGGTTGAACTTGGTATTCCAACTTAAAATGTTGAAATGACAAAGATGTAGTGGTATTATGTTGTTCCCTGTATATATCTTTCATGGGCAATACAACTGTAAATATATATTTTTTTAAATCTACTATTTCCCAAGCATAGCTGCAAATCCTGCATAAGTTTCTAATTTCCAATTTTAAGAATTCTGAGACTAGATGATTTACAGTGTTCCAGTCCTCTGTGAGGTACATTTTCCCATTTTTTTTTCTTTAATCTTGTCTGGAGTTGCATTCTACAGAAAAGACAAGCAATAATTTTATGAAATATATGGCATTGTCATTTCAAAACTGGCTAAAATTTTACTTTATTAAGATCCCCATTAATCAAGGATCTTGAAGTTTTCAGGGAGCACTAACATAAATTCAAATGAGCTTTAAAAAATGTTTTACGAAAGTCCATTAAAACACTGCACACATTTTTTTTCTCCTGGCTGTGTTTTGTTTGCCATTAGTGGTGATAACCACCAGAGTATTCTTATATAAATCAAAACTCTCTCCGTTTTAGTCTGACCACTCTCCTGGCCTCATGTGCACAGTATGGTCACAGATTATTGTTTACAACATCATGGCACCTTATTGTGCATGTGCAGGTGACAACATGAGCAATGTCTAGGGCATTCAGTCCTTCATTTAGCATAACACACCTCCATTGATGACCTTTGCCCCTTGGCCCTTATCAAAGCTTTTCTACTGAAATTACCCTTAGATGTGGAGGTTTTTATTCAAAGTCATGTAATAGTGAACAGAAGCTATTTAAAAAGAAAAGAAGTTTTACAAAAAAAAAAAAAAAAGAATTGACCAATGCTTTCACTGCTAGAAATACCAAGAAAGCAAGAAGAACTCTCCACCCATTGCACTTTGAACTTTGGGTTGCAACAGAAAATCCAAAGCTGGCAGACCAATGACGGTGCAAGAAGAAACCCTTCTGCAAACATTCACCCATTCAGCCGCCTCCTGATATTTCAACCACTCTCAGTTTCATTTTTTGAAAGATGTCTAGAAAATTGGATTCTAGGTTTGTTTGTTTGGTGTTTTTTTTTTTTAACAGTTTTGCAGATAGTAGAAATGAAACCATCGAGTTGGAGGGGAAATTGTTTGAGTCAAAAACATCTCTTGGTTTTATATTCCAATTCTTTTATTTGAAATGCTCTGCAGTTGCCAAAGGGCTCAGTCAATAAATTATTAATTTGTTCTAGCACCATCATGTTTGATTGCTGAGCTGAGGCAATGCTACCATTTTGATTATTCTTTTCCAAGAAGCTAATGTTACAAAAAAAAGAGAGAAGATTACAATTTATAGTAACCCTTTTCTCCAGGATTTAAATTTTGCTTTGAATTTTAATTGTGTAAACAATTAATGTTTCATTATAATAAATGCATATACATATTTAGGCCTCATATTTATCATCCTGAAAAAAGTAAATATGTAATTTCAAGAGAAAAATCATAATTTTTCGTGAAGTATCACTCACATTTTTTAAAATTAAAATTAAAGAGATTTATTGTTAGCAAAGCTATTCAGACATGATTTTGTCTCTGACATAATGATGAGCTTATTTATAAATATAACAACACATTAATTAATATACACATTATTCATAGTTTTAGGTTAGTTACTGGTGCCTTTTATTTCACAATAACTTTGGGAAAAATTGAATAACTGTATTTGACTATTTTTATTATAGTAAATTGTGGTGTAAGTGCCTTTTTAGGATGTAATAAGTGTTATATGTAAAGTGCCATTTTAGGAATGCATGATGTAATTGCGTATTTAATTTGAATTCAGTTATTTCTATGAACATATCTGCAATTCTCATAAAACTTACAATTGATCATAATTTTGAAGTAAAAATTATATCTTAATTTTATTGAGAATATGCAATTTCTGTATGATATTGTATCATGATGCAGTCCCTTTGCATCTTCAAATGAAAACAAAATACAGTTTCATTAGTTATTGGATGCTATAGAACTGTGGTCCCTTAACTCCTAGGTCGTAGATCAGTATTGTTGCGTGGTTTGCTGGGAACCAGGCCGCATAGCAGGAGTGAGCAGAGGGCCAGCGAGCGAAGCTTCTTCTGTATTAACAGCCACTCCCCGTCACTCACATCACCACATAAGCTCTCGTTCCTGTCAGTCAGCAGGGGCATTAGATTCTCACAGGAGTCCAACCCCTCTGTAACTGCGCATGTGTAGAGCTAGGGTGCCGTGTCTTTATGAGAATCTAACGCCTGATGATCTGAGGTGGTGATGCTAGCTAGCGTTGGGGAGCGCCTGGCAAATACAGATTATCATTAGCAGAGATGTTTGACATGCAAATAAATGTAATGCATTTGAATCATCCCAACCCTGCCTCCCTCCTGCAACTTCATGAAAAAATTTCTTTCATGAAATCAGCCCCCAGTGCCAAAAAAGTTGGGGACCACTGCTGTAGATTCTTCATAATCAAATCAGTAATAGAAACTTTTGGAATATTTTTGTTATGAATTCAAGATCCTTTTTGTTCAAAATTATTTATAGTTTCTGTTTTTTACTAATTTCATAGATTAATTATTTTGTGTTGCTTTATAGATTTTTGCCTTGTAATTTTGTAGAAAATAAGTCATATATAAGTCACCGATTGAATGTTTATTGGAAATATAGCCAAATATTGTTTTTTGCTATATTTTACTCTTTTATTAGTTTTAATATTCGTATTTTCCTTTAGGTTTTGTTATGGCTTTTAAAACAACAACTTTTTACTGGGCGGTGAGCAGGCGGTAGGGGGAGAGAAAGGGGTGTATGCTCCAAACGTGTGATGCACACCCTCTGGGGATTGGACACATTGGGGGAGGGAGGGGGCAGCGGAATATTTGTAACCCTACCTAAGATATATTTGTACCTCCATAATATGATGAAACAAAATTTAAAAAACATTAAAATTTAAATAATAAAAAATAAGATGTTCCACCTTCATTAAAAAAAAAAAGATGTAACAGATCAAGTCTGCTTAAAAGAAAGAAAAATTTAAGGCTGTGTCCTGGATGAAAGTGCAGAAAATTCAGATGGACGAAGCCAAGAACTGGAATCCAAGGACTATGAAAGAAACCTATGCTTTTACTCCTTTCTGTAGCCCTGTTGTTTTTTAATTCTATCTATTTGAACAAAGTCATGATGAATAATTTTCTAGCTAAATGTTTCCTACATTTATTATTTTTCAATAGGAACTAGTAATAGCCAAAACTGAAAAACTAAGTACTTTTTAAGGATCTGATTTTTATTTGTTGATTTTCCTCTATGATGTTATAATGTTTATATATCACTAGCCACTTGTTTGTGTATATGAATCATTATTTTTAAATTCAGAGTGTCAATAACTCATAAATATTAGGGCTTCAAGAAAGTGAGGGAGAGATGGGTAAAAGTCGTGGTAAGACTATCTATGTGTGTGTATGTGTGTATGTGTGTATGTTCTTATATCTCCTTCACTTTTAGCTTGCAAAATGGTTTCACACGTAAGCATGAATAGATGGCAATTGAAATATGGCATGTTTTCTCAAAAGCGATAGATTGTAATAATTTTGAACATTTAAATTTTTGCATAAATATATATTTCATAATATAATTCTCTAATTATTATTGTCTAATGTTAAATTCTAGAATAAAGAGAATATGCAATAATTTAGGGCTATTGAACCAAGCATATATAAATTAATAGCAATATATGTTTAGTGTCATTTGTAACTGAAAAAATATATAAAACATTTGTCCTTAAGGCAGCCTGCAAATATAATGGTCACTACATATTGTGAGTTAGTTATCATAGCATTGGTCAGGGAACGACAGGAAATGATGGGTTGTTCTGCTAAAGTTTGTGATAATTAAAACATTTGTTCTAGTAAGTTTATAATGTTAAAGCCCACAGAGTGAACTTTATTAAAATTGTTCTGAGTCTTGAGCAAACAAATAAACAAGGAGCACAGAGAGAGATCATTCCAGGCTAAAAACATAGAACTCACAGATTATAGGAAAAATTAGCCATGTAGATGTAAAGAATTATAATGAATGTTTTATATAGGTATAATGCATGTATTTATTCCAGGCAATAAACAGTTATGTATAAGAAGACCCCAAGAAATTAGATTTAGTGTTTATATGGTAATATTTATATAATCATCATAATAAAACGTACAATATAACCCACATTAGAGGAAGGAGAAAGTTAAAGTTACACTGACATGAAAATTTATCGTACATGTTAAGTGTAGAATTAATGAATGTAGACAGGCAGTGTCTACATTAAAAAATGTATAAAGATAATGATTATGGCCCAAGAACATGGACTGTCGCGCCCACCTCGCCAGCAAGGAAGACGCGCAACGGAGTCTTCTGACGTGCTTTATGGGGGATCTTAGGCTACATTTTGCGGAAGACCCAGAAAAGGGGAAGGGCAGTTTCTTATATACACTGCAAAGCAGGAAACTCATATCATTGGTTACATTCGACACACAGGCGCAGAACTTGTTTACCAGCGGGAGAAGCAAGGGCGAGGCACCGGATATCAGCGCCATATTTTAATGGCGTTGTCACCGCGCCCCACAGCTCCCCCTGTTTTATTTAATAAATGAGCACTGAGCAGCCGCTCAGCCCCGTCCTTCGACAGAGCGATCAAGGCTGCAGAGCCTCATAGCCAACAGCTGTCACCTTGCCTCGTGCAATGAGCAGAACTCGGAGGCGTGCAAAGGCTGACTGCCAGGCAGACAAAATGGGTAAGGCCTCTGTCTTAGGCTACATGGGTTGCTTCCCCATCATGGCTCAAATCTACGACGCTCAATGATGGGGCCCCATGCATTCCCGTCATGGAGTAACCTTACAGCCAACTCGGGGGGCTGCTGGGGCGATAACAGCGCCCTAGTTCAACATGTTTAGCCAAACCTGTGGGTTTTGCCCAAGCTCTAACGCAGCAAAAGCCTGAATCATCAAAATCTGATTACGTTGATTCTGACGCGCCATTCTGACAATGCACATGAGCCCTAATATGGCAATAAGCGCAAGGAGACCTGCCAGGGCGCCCATACCAGCCCATTCCTTAAGATGATTGGCAGCCTGTGAAATCAGCTAGTTAAACCTTCAGCAACAGCAAGATCAACCCGTGTAGAATTAATATGAATAATGGACTGCTGTAACTCAAGTAACAGTCCCTCAAATCCATGAGACCAATTAGACATTAGGTAATGGGACAGTTGGCGAGACAAGTTTGCTGCACGGGACAAATTATGATAGGGGATGGAGGTAACACATAAACCGGGCCACCGCTGCTCGCATCCCAGCTGCACAAGCTGCAAC